TTCGTGTGGAAGAATTCTACACAGCCTGTGGTGTGCTGTTAACATGTTATCGATGACTTCGACAGACTAAAACAAGCTTTAGAGTATGAAAAGCAATGACTGTGCTGTCAACGTGAACGTTGTTAGCTAAGCAGTAGGAGTTTCGTAAAGGGCCATTAACTGAGCCTTGCACCCGTTAGACCTAGCTGGGAGGCATCACAGTCATTGTGATTCAGGCGTACTAGTATCACGGTTCCCCGGAGCTTTACCACGAAATATCACCGCCCAAGGTTTGAGGGCTTCTCGACGGTTCGTGATGATCTTGACTGGCTAACAGTCAGTGTGTGTAGGTCTAGGATACCCTAACAGCCACATAGGCTATCGCCCGATCATTGGACCTGTTGAAATTTGTCAGGGATTTCGTCCTGCCTCAGCTCAAGCGCTGACAATAGGTGTGCACACCACATCACGGCAGCCATTCTGTTCTGCATTTTGCCTAGAGTCGGCTGTACTGTTGGTACAGGTACCACTGAGCTGTGTCCATCGATAGCTGGTCTCAGTAAACGAGCCCTGCAGTATACAGAAGCGGCATAGAAGACCGGTCCACTGCTGCCGGTCACGGGGGGCCAGCAAGAGAAGACATTCTGGACTCCAGCAGGATAGTAGTGGTAGATAACTAGATTTTCGTGTGACCAGACGAGACTGCACGACACTTGCAGACACCTGCACGAACATTTCACCAGCCACACTCCAGCAGCCTGGGATAACCGATCCTCTGCAGCTTGTGCCACCTCACCATTGCGGGTGCATCCTCTCTCTCTCTCTCTCCTCCAGCGCTACCGCGAACATGGAATTCCTAGTCCTGTTTTTGCGCTTTGCAATTGTCGTGTGGATGGGCTCCTTGGAATCGGCAGCATATGCGATACCGATACCAGTCTCCCATGATCACGATGAATCGAGACCCGCCCGGGATTGTACAGGGGAGAATGACGCTACGCCATTGGGTGAGACAATGGGTGACAGCAGAGGTTCGAGTTCCGGATGTTGCAAGCCGTTTCCTGAAGACTCCACACGTGACTGTCCACCGATAGTGCTAACACGGAGTATCAGCCCACAGTCAGATGACGACGTTAACGACGGCAAGGTCATGGACACAGGTCACACAGCCTTTCTACCCCAGCTTTCACTCAAGTCCGCGGCGCTGTCGTCAAATGACGCTTCCTCGCCAAAGCCAGGGTCACATCACTCGGAGGAACGCGACGATGACGGAGATGACGTCATTCTAAGTACCACTGAAGCTATAAGTATAAAGGTGCAAGGTGGGACAGCCATGGAGCATCCTTTGGCTTGGGCAAGTCCGGGTGAACGCGAGGCGACATCAAGTAGTGCAGTCAGCTCGGGAACACAGGTGCAGGTGCCGATTACTAGTACCCTGCAGGTGACAGTAGAGCCCACGACGACGCGCCATGCTTTCCCCGGCGAGTCTGATGTGCCTGTTGGATGGCTGGGACTATTTCGTGACAAGAACGGGCCGCGGCCGCGAGGACCACTGGGCTGGATGAATCTCGAAACATGGCAGCGGAATGCTGATTCACTCGGACATGCAAATCCTCCCTTCTATATTGGTGAGTCGGCTAAGGCTGGAAGATCAGATCTACATTGTACTAGTGCTTGAAATACAGTCAGTGCTGCTGCTCAATGAAATCCGATCGTGGGAGTCGGCCTTGCACCCTGGCACCAGTTCGCTACATGTATCCCAGTGTTCGCAGGTCGAGGCCTGCACAGCGCCCCATGCAGGTAGCATAGGCTCGCTTGGTCGGATTTCATTCAGCACGCACTGTGTACATGTGCATGCAGGGAGGAAGTTCAGTGTCGAACTAACTGTTTACTTGGAGGGGTGAGTGTTGGTCAGGTGACCCTATGCCAATCATTGTACCAATAGAGTACTTCTACAGTGCTGGGAACTGAAATCCGACAATGAAATCCGACACTGAAATCCGACACTGAAATCCGACACTGAAATCCGACACTGAAATCCGACACCCTGGGCTCTTGGTCGGATTTCAGTTGCCAGGACTGTAGTACTCAGTACTGAGTCCAGAGAAAGGTAGAACAAGTAGTTGGGCGTCAGGCACCTGGTGAAGTGAGAGACCAAGTAGGCTAACCATGTAGTTGTGAGCGTGTGGTGGAGTTCGTGTTATGTGTCCCGTTCTTTCGATGGGAATGTTGCAGATTCGTATCCGAACTCCAAGCAATGAGGATTTTCGTGCTGCTGCGCCTATAAACGGCAGCATCTTGGTCTGTGTGGTGTTGTGTAGGCTCCTGCGCTCATCTTGTCGAGCCACGCATGTCGGTTGTGTTGCAGCATAGCATTGTGTTCCAGCCACGTGTGTTCCTATTCCGTTTCGTTGTTGTCCTCCTGTATAGACCACGTGACCGTTTCTCACATACCTAATATGATGGGGAGTGTGCATGCGTGTTGGTTAGTTGATTGGTCGGTTATTATTATTATTATTAAATTTTGAATCGGTTGGTTGGCTGATTTCAATTCGCACAATAAGCGGGAACTAGGCCCAAATGGCAATGATACGAAGGCGAATGTCTATTGTCCATGCTCAACTCTGCAGGTGGTGAAATTCAGAGGTCAAATCAGAGGCCAAAGGTGGACTGGCATGGCATTAACCATGCTATTGCCCCTAGCTTTGGCAGACCGGATCAGCGTCATGTTGCCAGCGCCTGGGATACGATCGCATACGACACAAGCACGGGCTACAATGTACCAGGACTGGCGACGGTCACTGACGAACCGGCAGTCCTAGCGTCTCTCATGGCAGCTGCAGCCCAGCATCCCGTCAGGTCCAGCCGCAATCTGCACATCGTCTTGGCGAGTTCCCTAGGCGCGTTGGTCGTTTTGACGCTGCTTGGAACCCTTCTCATAGCTGCACATCGCCGTCACACTCGAAACCGCTGCCGCTCGCCCGTGGCCTATGATTCCGGTGTGTTGACCTGGAAGAATCGCTCTCAGCTCATCAGTCTGGTGTAGAGAGAGATGATTGTATTTATAAAGCATTACGCAGAGGCTCTAGACCTGTCGAGGGCATATCGAAATTTCAGATCTGCTTGATGAGCAACACTTCAGGAACCACGGTGTATCCCATGACAGGGAATGCTGAAAGTTCTTGGCTTATTCTACTCAAATTCCTAATTATTCTCCACATATAGCCAAGACATTAACTACATGAACATCAGAGTCTGAGAGAGACCATTTTAATGGTTTTGGGCGCGACTCCCTGATGGTCATGTACAGTCATGTACACTGTATTGCAGTGTGACATGTATACGCCGATATTTCTCTGCACCACATCACTCGTACCTTAGCCTTGTCTGAGCTCCGTCATGATACTACCATCACTATGATGAGATCTGGAATCTGTTCGTTGGTTGTACAATCCTCTGTTGCGTGTTGATCGTCACGTCTTGCATGATTACCTGCCGTGTTCTTCCCAGTCCTTGGTTTTACTTTTATCAGCTGCGTGCTTTTGGGGAACATTTTTGATGGTTTTGTTCTGCCAACCAGTCTATGCTTGAGTCGGGAACACTACTTAAAAATGCAGTATCGCGGTCCTCCGCATCGCGTTATGCTAACATCATTATCAATATTATTTTATCGTGGTAGATCTTAACTCGGATACTCGTTTCTCAAGTGTTGTCTTCTCTTTTTTACTCGTTTCTCAAGTGTTGTCTTCTCTTTTTTACATGGTCGATCTACATGACATTGTACCAAGAGTATAGGGGGGGGGGGGGGGGGGGTATACACTCTTGATTGTACTGCTCGCAGATTCTGATTACTATCACTAGCAGTGCCCTCTGGCGAGTGTGAGTGGGTTTATATGTTCCAAGATTGCCCACTTCAAGTAGATAATACTTCAGTAGGTTGTTGGGCCAAGGTACAATGTAAGTGCTTTATGTCAACGCAACGTGCATAATTATACCGGCGCGCGTATGAGTGACATTGTGGCACTTAGATGCTATGGCTATGTACAATACTACTATCGCCTGTGGACATTAATAATATACGACGTACAAGTAGTAGTCAGAGCACTTTAAAACATCATATGATCAACCCATGCAGATCCAGTCAGCTCCGTAACTGTAACAATGATTACTTTGGTATCTCAGTCCTGCTACTTTCATGCGCCCGTGGATAGCAACTTTCAGATTGCTGGACTGCAATGATTGATGAGTACGAGTACATCGTACATCAGATATCCGAGTACTTCTTCATGCCCAGTCTAAGTCACAATCATTATCAACTTTTCAGAGTGACTTCAACTGGAAACGAGGGAGAAGCGGCTTGCGTCTCGCTCCCGCCGGTCAAGTGTGCACTTCATTATGCTGATGAGCAGAAAGAAGAACTTACTTAGAAGAGAGATCCTGTCACTTTCAGCGCCCAAGCACTGAGATACGCGAAATGACCTCTTCGCGGGTTTGTCATCGAAACCACCCCTGCAGTACAGTGACTGGGTAGATCGACAGGGTTGAGCGCTGGCCATTTACGACGGTCCGTAGACTCTACCTTTCTGCGCAATAGGTAGGTCTACTAGTCCCAGTAGCGATGACCCTGGCCTGGTCTCCGCAGCTCAGTAGTCACTGACTGTGTAATGCCACTGGCGGTGAATGGAGACCATGAACCCCACAGGTCAGGAACACTACCCTAACTGCCACACTAACAGGATTACAGACAGGATTGACCTTGTATAGGGCCTCGCTTGGCCAGGCGAATAAGGCCAGTAAGGGCACGCCTCTAGCTCTGCACCTGCGGCGAACATAGATCAACGCTTTGACACAGCATGCTGACCAGATGACTACTGTGATCGTGACTGAGCGGATCGCAGATGGAGCTGCGCTAATAGTAATACTTGGTTGGTATGGAGAATACGGACAGATTCGACACACCGACCGGTCCGTGGTCGAGTAGGTCAGGTCTATACTACTCGTGTTAGATCTACGTACCGTACCGGTCTGAACGGATCGCGCGGGGAGCGGGAACTGTCACAAGCAAAGAACTACAGTGTAAGCAGTAAAGTCATGTTACTAGCTGCCGGTTGCGTTTCGAAGTTTTCTTCCGTTCCCGGCAATGGCGACTTCTCCTGTGCAGCGAAGCCAGAGGTCTCTTAGTCTTGCAGTGCCGTTCCAGCACCTCCTCCATGGCGTGGAGCAAGAGGAGAAGGTTTTAGGGCGAGGGGCGCATGGCGTAGTGTTTGCTGGAAGCTGGAACGGTACGGCCGTGGCGATAAAACGTCACCATCCTGTCCTGGCCCTTGACGAGCACGGCCAGCTGTCAGCGAACTACCAGCAATTTCTGCGAGAGTTTCCGCTGTTGAATGAGCTACCGCATCCCAACATTGTTCAGGTGTTCGGAATGGTGTCGGCGAGCGGACCGAATGACACGCCGGGTCTGGTCATGGAGTGTCTTTCGCAGACGTTGCGTCAGCGCTGCAGCACGCAGCCGGCCCTGTCGCGTGTGCAGGAGGCGGACATCGCTCTAGGCGTGTCGTCCGCGCTGCTGTACCTCCACAGCTTGAACATAGTCCACCGGGATCTCACGACCAATAACATTATGGTAAGCAGTGAAGTGGGCATGCCCGGCGGTGTGCCGCAGCTGAGAGCAAAGATTACGGATGTCGGCGGAGCTGCAAAGCTGGCTCATCCAGCAGAAGCGGAGAGCTTGACAATGAACCCGGGAGCACAGACGTACATGGCACCGGAGACTCAACAAGAGTATGCTGACGGCGATGGTGGTGGAGAGCAGGGACAAGCAAGGTACGGAACTCCTGCTGACTGCTACTCCTTCGGCGTGTCCATCCTGGCCATGTGCGTTCGCCGTGAACCGCCCAGCATATTCACACTGATGCGTAGAGGACGCTCGCATGACCTCAATGCCCTCGGTGCGTACCACCCATTCCATGCAATCATCAGCCAATGCCTGGAAGTTAATCCAGCCCGGCGTCCCAGTGCCACACACATTAACCAAGCCGTGCGTGTTGCCAAAGAGTCTCTTCTCCGGCAACCGCCAGTGGACAGGCCCGTAGCGAAAAGGAGAACGCTATCCGCTGACCACGCCGAGAATGAACATATGCGCCGGGAGCTTCAGGAGCAGAAGATGCAGCTGAGCGCAGTCAAAGAGCAGCTATTGGCGGCGCAGCGCCAAAGCCAATCGCATACCCGGCTAGCTTTGCAGGATCGCGAGGCACTGATAGCCGAGCGCGACGCAGCCATACAGCAACTCGGCGAGGTGCTCGTTCAGACCGCGGTGGGAACGCACGACGCGGAGCGACGCGCCGGCGATAACGGAGACATGCACGAGCAGCAGATGAGAGACTCGCTATTTCATCTCGCATCCATTGATGGACCGGCCGGTGTGCAGGCTCGCTGTTCACTCATCATCGGTCCACCGCCGTCGCTCTCAAGAGGAGCACGCCCGAAAGCGACGGTAAGCACTGACGCCAGTATGGTTGCTAGGTCCCAGGGGCGTGGCTCACACCTCTGTGGTGTGGTGACCATGTACTCGAGCATATCTGTGGTGTGGTGACTATGTACCTCGTAGTCGCCATTTTGTTTAAACCTACTTTCACTGTGTAGTAGTAGTAACTACATGATATATGACAGCCGTTTTCAGGCCTGGTGACCAGACTGAGACTGCTCTGACTACATACGGGCTACACGGCTGCACTGACTAGATATGGGCTACACGGCTGCACTGACTACATACGGGCTACACGGCTGTCCTGACTAGATACGGGCTACACGCCTGCACTGACTAGATACGGGCTACACGGCTGCCCTGACTAGATACGGGCTACACGGCTGCCCTGACTAGATACGGGCTACACGGCTGACCTGACTAGATACGGGCTACACGGCTGCTCTGTTGGTGTTCATATTCTGACAACAGTCTACAATATAGGGTCAGGACATGATTCATTAGTCTGAACTGAAGGGAAAGTGCCAATATTAAAGAACCAAATAGGCGAGAGGAGAAATAGCACGGTTGCTGCTGCTGCTGCTGCTACCGCTGTCGTCGTCGTCGTCGTCGTTGTCACCACTATTGTTGTTGCCGTGTGACGGTGTCCGTTACTGCCACTGCAGTTGCTGTTGTTGCTGCTTCGTGTTGCTGCTTCGTGTTGTTGCTGCTGCTACTGTTGTTGCTGCTGCTACTGTTGTTGCTGCTGCTACTGTTGTTGCTGCTGTTACTGTTGTTGCTGCTGTTACTCCTGCTAGTGTTGCCGCTGTTGCCACCGCTGCTGCTGTTGTGATCGTCATCAGCATCTCCACAGACATGTACTTAAGTACAGTCATGGTGATATTGTGGTCCATATCTTTGGTTGAGACTCGGGAGTCGTCAAACGCGCACTCCAAATCTGACGTATTCGAAAGCTCTGTTTCTATTCTTGTGAGACAGTTCATGCATCGCATGATATTGGCGGTCGAAATTCGTGCTCCCGAAAATGGCAGTGCTCAGAGAGTCAGAAGTACAATTCAATTTGACAGGTGTCTCATATCAGTCAGTGGAGTTGAAAAGATGACAGGCTGAAAGCGTGTACAGTCAACTTCGCTAATAGCGACTGCGGATATAACGACAATTCGCGAATAGCGACAGAATTTCCAGCCCCAGAGCAGCAAAGTAAGTCCCTTCTACCTGTAGACATAATTATAATTAGACTTCGGGTGTAAGGACACTTTTCTGATGCCCCGCCGGGTGTCGCCGCAAGTTATAAGCGAAGTTGACTGTACATGGTCAAGAAGGAACGTGAAAAACTACGCTGTGTCTCTTTGTCGGTTTTCTGGCATGCAATGAAACAGTTCAGCATAGGGCTTGAAAGCGATGACGTCAGAAGTCATCAAAAGTCAAAATCTAACGACAGATACCGACTTTCGGATCCACTCTGGCCATGGCGAAGTAGAGTATGCGGTGTGTGGGCCACTCGTGTCGCTCGTAGGTGTGATTATTGTTGTCTTCCTTTTCTGTCCCTGTCCATCTGCAGTGGAAGAATGTTGGCAAACTTCCAATCGCCATCAGCAACCCCGCTCAGGTGGGCTCAGTAGCCTATCATCAGGGCCGAGTGTACACAACGCTTCTTCTCGAGAAAAGGTGGCAAATTTTCAGCACGGACTCCAAAAACCTAGCCGAACCTGCCTGGTTCGCTGAAAACCCGCTGAATTCACTGCAGCAGCAGCTCCCCGACACTCCGCGCATCTTTGGTGTCCGGGAGCACAATAACACGTTGTACCTAATCGTCGTGTTTGTTAGCACGCCATCCATCCTTTATAGCCGATTGGACAATGGCGGCTGGCGGCAGGTGGCACAGCTGCCAAGGTTCCGCATGGGGTTCTCAATCACCTTCCTTGACAACCACCTCGTCATCATCGGGGGCTCTACGGGCACGCATGCGTTCGTACCGGTGCGACCGGACGTCATTTCCTTCAATCTCGGCAAGCCGGGAAACGCCGCCGAGTGGATTGCCTGGCCGGACTTTCCCCAGTCCTGTGGCGGTGGCGTGCTGAAGTATCCGCACGGCATAGTGCACGCTGGCTACCTGCACATTATCGGCGGTGATTACGAACATGGAGCGGCGACCAGGCGGTCGATCCTCTCAGCGCCGCCAACGAAGCACGTGCACGCTCGCAGCTGGTCGACGGACGTTCTGCCGAAGCTGCCGTTTCCGAACTGCCTGCTGCGCGTGTTCAACGGCTGCCTGGGCTGCTACGACCGGTACGGGCTCAGCCACGACCGCGAGAAGCAGTTCTTCATGCTCTCGCCGGTCTCACAACAATGGCTGCCGCTTCCCAGCACCAACCCGAAGGACGGGTTTGCGTGCGACCTGAATGGCCGTATGGTCCTCTTCACGCCAACCGTAATCCAGGAACTATGCTGGGAGTAGGCATGCGTACTTTGACCCAGATCTCTGATCACTACCGTAAACTGCTTTATGTTTGCGACGTATTTAAAATGTTTGCTAATTTTGCGAGAAGAGCAGAACGCAAATATTAACCATCGTGAAAAATCAAACTTCAACAGTGGGTGTATACGTGTGGCCACAGTGCTCCACGGACATTTGCCATCGTAAACTCGCTGATTCTGAGAGATCGCAAACCTTTAGTGACGCAAACCTTGGGCGGTTTACCGTATGTCTGTCAATTGCTGTGTAAGAGTGGTAAGTGTGACGATGTTTACGAGTTTAAAATTTGACTACCCCTGCCATCATGTGCCCGTCTTTTTTGGTATTGTGCTCGTTTAAGTGTGACTTTGTGACTCGCTTGAGACTTTGAGTTTGAGATTCAACGCTTACAGTGTTGGCGTGGACATTTGGCCTTTCTACCGTACCATACCCGCTGGGACTTGTGGTGTCAGACAGAGTTTATTCACAACTAGCAAGGAGGACAACAAACGAAGAACTACATTCCAAAGCAGTGTGCGAACACAAAAGGGAAGTGTGTACGAACACAAAAGGAAAGTGTGTACAAGCGCATATGGAAGCAGGAGCTCTAGGCGCGTGCATACGGGGTACGGGAGTTGCACCATATACGGAAGTATGCCATATACATCATGCCCCCCCCCCCCCCCTAAGATAAAAACGTACAAGTGTTTATCTAATCAACAAAAAATAATGTGGAAATTGCATGTGCGTAGCAAATGACATGTCGCGGAGCATCAGCAACTTCCAACAGACTTGTAAAAGGCATAATTGCAAAAATTATATACATGAAGGTTTTCAACTGCGAGACAACGGGAATGACAATTGAATAGGTACAATGGAAATCAACAACTGAACAGAGCAAGTGTTCGATTGTCCACGCGTTGAAATAATGTTAATGGGGACATTCTGTCGCCGGGACGTTGGCTTGTTCGAGGTGGTACCTGAACAGTTGGCTGTGGCGACGACTGAGTCACAGGAACTGCTTGTGGTGCAGCGTCGGGGGAAGATGTAAGCATGGCTGCTGAAGCTGGAGTAGGAGGACGGTACGGATGTAGCGACGGTTGCGCCAATGTACGCGTCCACTCGTTAGCTTGACGTAGTAGTCGCGGTGGTCACCGATAGCCACGACAACGCCGCGGGAAGACCACCGTTTTGTCTTCGGGTGCTGAATGTCAACGTGCGTCCCGATAGGCGTGTAGGCGCGTGCATACGGGGTGCGGGAGTTGCACCATATATGGAAGTATGCCATATACATCATATCAGGACTCAAGGATGAGATGCTACCGATTTTCTGATGTTGGCACTATAAAACAGTAAAATGTTCCAAGCATTCATAGCCTTAAAAAAAGAGAGATTATCTTGAGCCTCCCTGAGCTGAGCACACAATTCTAATGTACTTTATATTTTTTGTTTAAGAATCCCGATAAAATAGAGCTGCTAGCATTCTGGGGATGTGGGAGTGACCATACCAGTGTTTTCCGTTTAAGTAGAGAGGTTCTGCTATACACTAAACGTAGAGAAATCACGTAGAGAGCAGGTGTGTGGGTTAGAGTCTACGGCTTTGCGTGTTAAGGGTCCAGATTTCTACGCATAGATGAGGTTCTCTACGTTGTGGCACACGCAGAGAAATGCGTACAGATCTGATGGGCATCGATCAAATGCAGGCAGAAAACTGCCAAACATGGAAGGGGAAATTCCCAGTACGCATTCCCCGTGATTTCTCTACCTGAGGGTAGAGCAGAAGCTGAGAACAGATTTTCTTTACGTTACGGGAATGCGAAGAGAGTTCCCGGGATTCTTCGCGTCACATTCCCGTAACATAGAGCAGAACCTCCCATCCACCACATCCAGTGGTTTATCCCATAGTACGGTAGGAAAGCCTGGATTCAGCCAATCAGCAGCCGTTATTTCCGGGGAATATAGCACGTTATTCCCCGGAATTCCGGGGATTATTCACCGCATACACATTCGTACCACCTTTGACCCCCCTTGCGGTCAGGAATATACCGTCATGCATTTACTGTCGTGCCCTCAGGGTGGATTTTCCACGCTCCGGCATAATGAGCTGCGTGATGTCACCGCTCGTCTCCTCGAACGTGTTGCCCACCACTGGCCCACCAGGTGGCTATTGAGCCGCATTTACAGCCCCTCTCTGGTGAACTGCTACGCTGTTGCAGACGACGAAGCCCGATGTTCGGGTGCTTAACCTCTTTGCGTCCTCGAACCGCTCCAACTCGCTCGCTGCTACCACTAAGTGCTATACCCGTAATGAGAAGGCCGTAGTAAACGACGTTCATATGAGCAACGTATTCGTGAAGTGGAGCATTCAAGTTTTGTCCCAGCTGTCTTCTCGACCACCGGAGGGGAATGCTGCCACGGCGCTCCACAAGCCGATAGCGTCCCTGACGGCTGACAAGTCTGGGGATCCGTACAGCATGATTATGGCCTCCATTCGGCATTTGGCTGCCAACTGAGCTGTGCCCTAGTGCGGCACCTGACGTTTCCCTTCATATGACAGCTGAGTGATGTCTTCCTCCTCCCTTTACCAAGTTTACCGTACTTCAAGGTACTTGTCTAGCACATCCACAGTACCGGTACATGTGCAACCGTATGATTAGCACAGTTCAACAGTTCCCCTTCCTTGTGTTCTAGCCTTCCTCTCATGCATGTACCGATATCTGCATTTTCACTGGTCCGCAGGTTACTCTATTAGCTGGGCTGTCTGTCTCTCTGCCTCCTACTCCTAATCCTATGCCTGGAAGCCGGCCTCTTATGCGAGCATTTATACAAGACTCTGAGCATTCTTACTGGTGGCAGCTGCTTTTCATGGCACTCGATGATCCCCCGGCCTCGCGAAAACGATACAAACGGAGACCAGCTCGGATCAGCTCTGCATCTGACGGTGTAGACGCACAAAAACGGAAAAAGAAAGAACCAGCACCTATATACCAGGTAGTTGTCATACCACTGTATTATGTTACCATGGCGACTCGCTGTTGGTAGCTTTTCGCTTCCAAATCCGACACTATGATCTTCCTTTTTTGTAGCTTTTCGCTTCCAAATCCGACGCTGTGATCTTCCGAAAACAAAAGCAACGCAAAACCAGGGAGTACAGTACGATCGTAAGGCACCCATTTTTGATAGTCCAGGGGATGATGGCCCACGCCTGGTAAAGAGAATAAATAGAGAAAGGAAAAGATGGATATTTCACAGGAAGTACCACACTGTCCAGCTGATTCCTTGGAGGATGCATCGGTGATGAAGCGGGTGTACAGCAGTTTGTCAGCAACAAAGTTGCATCGTAGGTTAAGAGCGTGGAACATCTCTCTGATGCTGCTAAAGCATACCCACAAGCAGCTTATTGTGCGTTCACACGGTCCCTCTCCTGCGAATGGTCATACATTCGCCGCGTTGTCGAAGGCCATGAAGCCGAGTACGCCCCGCTACGTAACATCATTCGGCAACAGTTCACGCCTGCCATCATGGGTAGAGAGGTCCTTGAGCGAGAACATCAGCTACTCGACCTCCCTGCCAAGTTCGGCGGCCTCGCATCACCGACTCCACCGAAACAGCACCGGGTGCCCATGCCGCAGTGTCGAAAGATGCTACTCGGACTCTGGCTCGCTCCATCTGCTCCGGTCAGCCAGCGGTCATCAATGACCATTCTCGCCATTGCCAACTAGCAACGAGTCAGGCAAGCCGGATCAGGGACGAGCAAGCAGGGACACTCAGCAAGGAGCTTCTTCAAGACCTCCCCAAAACGGAACGGCGCACTCTCTCCCGCATCGTTGAGGGACATGCTTCCGGCTGGCTGACCGTCCTACCGCTCCGTCAGGAAGGCTACGACATGTTTTCAACCCAGTTTCGGGATCAGCTGGCAATCCGCTACGGCAGGCAGCCCAACTCTCTTCCGTCTCACTGTGACGGATGTGGCGCCCCGTTCACCTGCAGCACGGCCTCGACTGCCATAAGGGCGGCCTTGTCAAGAGAGGCCACAACGACCTCCGTGACAGTGATGCCAGGCTTGCTGACATTGCCTTCGGCGGCGTTACCACCGAGCCGATCCTCATCCTTGAACAGGACAGGAATGGACGGCCCATGCTCCAAGCGGACTGGCTCGCTCGCGGAGCATGAGAAGGCAATCGGGTGGCGTTTTTCGATAACCGCATCGTAGATGCTGACGCACCCAGTTATGCCAAGGCCAACCTGTCCTGGAATGCCACCGTCAACAAAGCAGCTGCAGCGAAGAAGCGGAAATACAAGCATGCCGCTGAAGAGCTACGAGGCTCCTTTACTCCTTTGGTGTGTTCCACTGATGCTGTCCTCCACCGCGAGTACAGTACGTACCAGAAGCGTCTCGCCAGCCGCTTAGCAGCGAAGTGGGAAAAGCCCTTCTCCGCCATGATGGCTTTGGTACGCGTGCGCACTCAGTCGCCATTTTCAGCGCCGTGGACATGCGTCTGCGAGGCTCCCGTCGCCGTCGTATGGGACTCTCCGTACATGACGGTGCCGGCGTTGGAATCGGTCACTGAGTCATGCCACTCTCGTTCTGTTTTTCTAGGTTTCCTCTCTTTCTGTGGCTCTCCCATCTTTTACCTTTTTCCTTCCGTTTTTTTCAGTTCTAATTCTATTATTATAATTACCTTTTGACTGATGGTCCTTTATCACTGTCTTTTTCTCGCAAAAAATACCGTAAACAAGGCTTTTTAGCTATTTAGGAGGGAGGTTCTGCTATACGTGAAACGTAGAGAAAGTGTGATTTTGTGACTCGCTTGAGACTTTGAGTTTGAGATTCAACGTTTACAGTGTTGTCGTGGGTATTTGGCCTTTCTACCGTACCATACCCACTGGGACTCAAGGATGAAATGCTACCTATTGATTTTCTGATGTTGGCACTATAAAACTGTAAAATGTTCCAAGCATTCATAGATCATAGCCTTAAAAAAAAGAGAGATTATCTTGAACCTCCCTGAGCTGAGCACATAATTCTAATGTACTTTGTATTTTTTGTTTAAGAATCCCAATAAAATAGAGCTGCTGGCATTCTGGGAATGTGGGAGTGAACATACCAGTGTTTTCCGTTTTAGTACAGAGGTTTGGCCCAGTTTGGCCAGCCCTAGTCGGAGTGACGAAATCTCCAAATAATGCGCTGATCAGCGGCTGATCAGCGGCTGCTCCATGGTGGAATGCAGGCACCGGTAGACCAGCGAGCACACTGTCTCACGCAAGAGCTGGTGTACACGGAGCAGGTTGTGTTCCGCATACACGGGAGTCATACGGGTACGGGAGGTCAGGTTGTACACGGCTCGCAGGGCTAGGTTGCATAGGCGTTGAAGTCTCTCCTCGTTAGCCTTGGAGAGAGAGCTAAAGAAAGCTGAGCATCCATAGCGGATCC